ATAAATGACACATTAGGCAAGTTGAACTTAATAGATATGTATACAACATTCCATTCAAAACAAGGAAAATACATATTATTTTTCAGTGCACATGGAATGTTCTCTATGATAAATTACATACTAGGCCACAAAAGAGTCTAAACAAATTTAAGAAGGTGGAAATTATATTAAGCATTTTTTCTAACCACAGCAGTATAAAACTAAAAGTATTACTGGAAGAAAAATAGAAAAAAACCCACAACTACATGAAGACTAAACAACATGATATTAAAACAAAAACAAAAACAAAAACAAAAAAATGGGTTAACAACAACAAAAAAAAGAGGAAATCTGAGAGGATTAGTCAAGATGGAAGAATAGAAAGACACTGAGCTCACCGCCTCTCATTGACACACAAAGATCACAATGGTTTGCAGAACAGCCATCAGTGAAAAGGCCTGGAGCCTACCAGAAAAGATCTACAACTAACGATGTACAGAAGGAACCACAGCAAAGTGGGAAGGAGGGGCACAGACACAGTGTGGTCAAGCCCCATATCCCCAGGTGGGCTACCCACAAATGCGAGAATAATACAATCGCAGAGGTTCTCCCACATGAGTGAGAGGTCCAAGTCCCACATCAGGCTCCCCAGCCTGGGGATCCTGCACTAAGAAGATTAACCCCCAGAGCATTTGGCTTTGAAGGCAGTGGGCTTACTTTTGGGAGTTCCAGGGCACCTGAGGAAATAGACCTCCGTCATGAAGGGTGATCAAAATAAATCTCACATGCTCCAGAAACCAGGCAGAAGCAATAATCTGAAAGGAGCCTCAGTTACATAAGACCTACCAGCTGATCTTGGAGAACCTCCCAGAGAGACAAGAGGCAACTGCAGTTCACAATGGGGACAAAGACACTGGTGGCAGCCATTTTGGGGAGCCCCTTCTACCACATGGACACTAGTGCTGGCAAGTGCCATTTTGGAATCCGTCCTCTAGCTTATTAGCCCCAGAACCCACCTTCACCCTGGCTCAACAGTTTGTAGGCAACAGGTCAAGAATGAATAGGTTCACATACAGCCCCACCAACCAGCAGACAAGCTGTCTTAAAAATTTTACACACAATCAAAAACTAAAAGTTTAGCATCACAAACCAGCTTTACAAGAAATGTTAAAGAAACTTTTCTAAGCAAAAAAAGAAAAGACCACAGCCAGAAATCAGAAAATTATGGAAAAAACTCATTGGTAAAACCAAACATATAATAAAAGTATAAAATTATCCATACACAAAGCTAGTAGGAAGGTTTAAATGCAAAAATAGTAAAATTATCTACATCCACAATAAGCAGTTGAGGCATAAACAAAACAATTAGATGTCAAATATTTTATCAAAAACAATAATTGGGAGAGAAGGAGAGTACAAATGCAGGGTAGTTAAAATGTATTTGGAATTAAGTGCTCGACAATTTAAGACAATCACAGGTAGATAGATAGATAGATAGATAGATAGATAGATAGATAGATTGCTATATAAAACCCCCTATGAACCACAATAAAAAATCTGTAATGTGCAAACAAAAATAAAAAGGAATCCAAGCATAACACAAAAGATAGTCATCAAATCATATGAGAAGAGAACAAAAGAAGGAACAAAAAGACCTTCAAAAACAACCTTCAAATAATTAAAAAAGATGGCAGTATGAATGTACATGGCAATAATTATTTTAAATGTAATGGACTAAATGCTGCAATCAAAAGCTATAGGGTAGCTGAATGGATACATAAACAAGCCCCATATATGTGCTGCCTAAAAGAGATTCAGTTGAGATCTAAAGACATACACAGACTGAAACTGAGGGGATGGAAAATGGTATTCCATGCAAATGAAAATCAGAGAAAGCCAGGGTAGACATACTTACATCAGACAAAATAGACTTTAAAATAAAGACTGTTATAAGAGACAAAGAAGGAAATTACATAATGATCAAAAGATCAATCCAAGAAGGAGATACAACAATTGTAAATATATATGCACCAAATATAGGAGTACCTAAAGCACATAGAACAGATATTAACAAACATAAAGAGAGAAATTGAAAGTAACTAAATAATAGTAGGGGACTTTAACACCACATTTATATCAATGGGTAGATTATCCAGACTGGAAGTTAATAAGGAAACACTGGCCTTAAATGACCCATTAGTTCAGCTACAGGGCTATAGTAATCAAAACTGTACGGCACTGGCACAAAAATAGATACACAGATAAATGGAACAGAAGAGAGAGCTCAGAAATAAACCCGGGCAATTATGGTCAATTAATCTGTGACAAAAGAGGCAAGAATATACAACAGAGAAAAGACAGTATCTTCAATAAGTGGTACAGGGAAAACTGGAGAGCTACATGTGAAAAAATAAAATTAGAGCATTCTTTAACATCTTACACAAAAATAAACTCAAAATTGATAAGGACCTAGATGTAACACTGAAAACCATAAAACTCCTAGAAGAAAAATAGATGGAACAGAAACACTCTGACATAAATCATAGCAATATTTTTTTATCTGTCCTGTAAAGCAAAAGAAATAAAAACAAGAATGAACAAATGGGACCTAATTTAATATAGAATCTTTTGCACACAAAAGGAAACTATCAACAAAATGAAAAAACAACCTACTGAATGAAAGAAAATATTTGCAAATGATATGACTGATAAGGGTTTTGTATCCAAAATATAGAACCAACTCACACAACTCAACATCCAAAAAAAAAAAAAAAAATTGGAGAAAAGACCTGAATGGAAATTTTGCCAGGGAAGACATACAGATGACCAATAATCATATGAAAAGGTGCTCAGCATTGTAAAAATCAGAGAAATGCAAATTAAAACCACAATGAGATATCACCTCACAGTTGTCAGAATGAGTATTAGTAAATACAATACAAAACAAACAAACAAATCAAAACCCCAAAACAGAAATAAAAATAGAAAATTTGGTGAGGATGTGGGGAAGGAACTCTTACGCACCGTTGATGCGACTATCAATTGATGCAGACACTGTGGAAAACAATATGGAGATTTCTCAAAAATCTGAAAATAGAATTACCACATGACCCAGCAATTCTACTGTTGAGTATATATCTAAAAAGATGAATATGCTGAATTGAAAAGATATATGCACACCAATGTTCACAGCAGCATTATTTCCAATTGCCAAGATGTGGAAGCAACCTAAATGTCCATCTGCAGATGAACAGATAAAGAAGATGTGGCATATACATATATACAGAATACTACCCTGCATGGAAAGAATGAAATTTTGCCATTTGCAACAGCGTGGATAAACTTGAAGGGTATTGTCCTAAGTGAAATAAGTCAGGCAGAGAAAGACAAATAGTATATGATATCACTTATATGTGGAATCTAAATAATAAACCAAACTAGAGAATATAACAAAAAAAGAGCCTCACAGACAAAGAGAACAAACTAGTGGTTACCAGTGGGAAGAGGGAAAGGAGGAGGGGCAGGGTAAGGGTAGAAGTTTAAATGATACAAAGTACTATGCATAAAGCAAGCTATAAGGCTATGTTGTACAACGAAAGAAATACAGCCAATATTTTATAATAACTAAAAGTGGAATAGAACCTTTAAAATTTGTGAATCTTCCTATTGTACACCTGAACCATGTATAATATTGTACATCAACTATACCTCAATTAATCACACATATGTGGAATCTGGAAAAAGAAAAAAGAGATCACTAATGAGCTCATCTACAAAACAGAAACAGCCCCACTGGCTGCTCTGAAAAGCCATCTTTGCATTGTGCCTGTGTCCGGCTCTCCGCTCGCCGCAGCCGCCTCCGCCGCGGCCTCCGGCAGCTTTATCGCCAGAGTCGTCGAACTCTCGCTTGCTTTCGAATCCGCTGCATCGGATCACCGGCGTGCCCATCATGTCAGACGCGGCCGTGGACACCAGCTCCGAGATCACCACCAAGGACTTAGAAGAGAAGAAGGAAGTTGTGGAGGAGGCGGAGAATGGGAGAGAGGCATCTGCTAATGGGAATGCTGAGAATGAGGAAAATGGGGAGCAGGAGGCCGACAATGAGGTAGATGAAGAAGAGGAAGAAGGTGGGGGGGGGGAAGAGGAGGAGGAAGAGGAAGGTGATGGTGAGGAAGAGGATGGAGATGAAGATGAGGAGGCTGAGGCAGCTAACGGG